GAACCAAGCCAACTTGGTTCTCTCTATAATCTCTCCTCTTTGTCTCTTCACTTCCACTCTTCCTCAGCTACTACACACAATGAATAGTCAGTGATCTTGCATTTCCAGCAATCACAAATCACAAATATAATATAATTTTGTAGTTATTCTTTATTGAATTATATATGTTTGGCTAAGCATGATTAGAAATTTACAACTACACAGATGCTCTATAGAATCTTGTTTTCTTTGGGACATTTGACTTGTTTGTTATAATTTTCATCATAATCATATTCCTTCATTTTGTAAGGAATCAAAGACTTTAGAAACTTATTAAAATGGTTACCTAAACATAGGTATGTGTTCAAGATTTTTTTTTAACAGTTTGGCAAATGGGTTTTCTTTATTTTCTCTGTTTTTTAGAACAAAAATCAGTTTTCAATAACAATACCCAAGTTGACGGTGTTTGGCAGACTTTTAAAAACAATTTTTTTGTCTCGGAGTTGCGAATTAACAACAAAAATGCACGCTTAGTTTAGTCACCATAGAATGATAGATTGGGTATGGATCTAGCTTTGACATTATTGCACCAAGTCCCTTTGATTCTAACCCACTACTTCAAGATTGGTAAACAAGAGTTTGGCTCATTCTAAGAACTGTTTACAAAATTGAATTTAAAAATAACAAGTACGAAAGACGACAATGTAAAAGTAAAATTAAGGAGCGTGGTTTTTGTTGGAAATTTGAAATCCTGAACATAGGTGGAAGAAAACATTAAGTCCAAAAAAAAAACGGTTGACAATAAAGGGGCACCATAGGTGGAAGAAGAGGCCTTAAGCAGATGCAAGAGACTCAATATAGTGTTTTTTTTTTGATCAAGTTTAATTACTGAAAGTTGTGTAATGTGTTTGTTATGGAGAATTGGGATTGAAAAAAAAATGATTTGAAAACTAAAATTTTATAGAGAAAAAAACCCACTAAAATGATGATGTAAAAACTTGATTTTATACAAAATTTTCATATTAATATTTTTGACAAGAATGATATGTTATTATGATAATAGCATTTTCAAAACTACACAGCATAATGATTTTGTTTTTGTTCTAAAGCAATAGAATCAAATTTTCAATATATTTTTGCACTTTAAAACTACAATGATCATGGTTTTGTCCTAAAATGAAAGCTCCATACAAAAACACATTGTTTTGTGTGAAAGTTCTACTTATATAGTATTATCTTTTGAAATAATAAGAAATTTTGATGGGCTTTTTAATTTAAAATGGATGAATACAAATTTAACACCATATCATTTTGTATAATTTTTGTGTTTTTAATTTATACATCATTACTATAAAAAAAATACATGCATAACAATTGATCACAAAATTAATCAAGGTCCTATGACATAATGTGAAACTCACCCTTTTTAAATATTATATGATTAAATTGTGTGAGTTGATTTTGATTAGGTTTTTGTTTGATGAGTATTGTAGGAAGTGGAGGTTGTGGCTGTTCATAAATCACTAAATCAGTTTTCAATTCAAACAACAATGATCATAATAAAATCCAAAAAAAAAAACAATATTGAGTCACTGTTCTTTTTCATTGAAGCATTCAAGAAAAATTAAAATTAAAGTTAACATTATTTTTTTTTCTGTACAAAATCACTCCAAAACCAGTCCAAAATCTGTCCAAAATCAAAATCAAATTCGTCCTAAACAGATGAAATCAAAGTGAAAGACACAAATCAGGGAATATAGATATAGATATATACATAGATATAAATCAGGGCATGAACTCAAAGTCAAAAATCTCAACAAATCAGGGCGTATAGATATAGATATATAAATATATATATATATATATATAGAGAGAGAGAGAGAGAGGGAGAGAGAGCTGACCTGTGCAAACAGATCTGTGAAGACGGAGAGAGACTCGGTCGTCGTCGGTCGTCTTCAGAAGCTGCGCTTGTCGTTCTCGTGAGAAGCTGCGCTCGTCGGGGTTGTAGAAGCTGCATTCGTCGGGAGCTCGTCGACAAAGAGGCACAGCAGAAAAGAGAAGAGAATGAAGAATAGAGAGAGAGAGAGTCTTCAAATGTTTTGTGCAAAGAAAAATGTTTGGGAGCACTAATTAGTGCTCCCACTAATTAGGTGGCAGTGGGTCCCGTCATTAATGATGTGATGTTTTGGTCTTGAAGTTGTATTTTTTAAATTTTTTTTTTACTTTTTTAATGCATTAGTGCTATTAGTGGTGGTATTTTTAGTGGGATGAATCATTGTTGTTTGTGCAAATAAATTTGAAATTTGAAATGAATAAGAAAGAGGGAGAAACGGGCGAGTTTACCTCAGCTTTCCACGTTGGCAGCCACGTCATTAGTGCCGATTTAGTGATCACCTTTTAGAGGTCGGAAGCATTTTCGTTATAATTAAGGTGAATTATATTATACTTTGATTTACTATTTTATGTTTTACGAATGTTTTGAGTTACCATAGCTTATTTTATACAAGTTATATTTATTAAGTTATATAAATAAAAGTTATGTTTATAAATATTTCAGTTATGTGGGTTACTTTCTAAACTCTATTTACTTAAAAGGAAACCCATGGATATGTTTGTTTAAATTTTAGTATATATTTGACTATAACCTTATAAACAATTATATGGTTGGCATGGAAAATAGTATGTGTGTGCCGGTACGTGTACATCGACCAAACTATTTTTCAATAATGTTTAGCAAACTGGTTTTAACATTACATTTTAATTGAATAGGGACACATGGTCAATGCTATTGGAGGCACATCTCTCACGCCGGAAAGTGTGGACATTATGAGAGGACAAAGTTTCATGATTGCCCCAACTCAAATTTATGGAGTTGGCACATCTCCGACCCCGTCAGACTGTATTGGAGGCACACCGGGATTTATGACAACTCAACAATCCATGATTGCTACGCATCAAATTTATGGAGCCGTACCGTCTTCATTTGTTGACTTGAATGTACAAATGGACCGCAATGACCATGGTGGTAGTTTTCGTTAGTTGGAAAGTTGTAATTGTAATGCCTTTTATGTGACTAAACTTGGAGTTTATTTTGTTTTGAATAGTTTATTTAATGTATTTTTGGTTTGAAATCGAAATTGATGTTGTTCCCTACTTTGTTGTTATAGTTAATGTTCCCAATTGATGCTATATTTGTGCTTTGTTTGTTACAGATTTAATGTGTTCCAAAATCTGTGTTCGAAAAAATCTGTCCCATAAATGTGTTCCAAATCTGTGTGAAAAATCTGTTACAAATCTGTTCTAAAATTATGTCTGCAAATCTGTCTTCAAAAACCTATGTGGTAAAATCTATCTTCAAAAATGTGTGGAAAAAACCTGTCTTCGAATCTGTCTTGAAAAATCAGTGTGAAAAAAATGTCTTCAAAACTGTGTGAAAAACCAGTGTTCAAAAAAGCTGTCTTGAAAAACCTGAGTGGAAAAATCTGTCTTCAAAACTGTGTGAAAAAAACCTGTCTTTGAATCTGTCTTGAAAAACCTGTGTGAGAAAAAAATGTCTTTAAAATTGTGTCAAAAACCAGTGTTCAAATCTATGTTGAAAACCTGTCTTCAAACCAGTGTTCAAACTGTGTCAAAAACCAGTGTGCAAATCTGTGAAGCACCTGTGTTCAAATAGACAAATACATCTTCATACATAATGTGTTCAAAAACAGACAAACAGTCCAAAATCTGTCCACAATCAGTCCAAAATCTGTCCAAAATATGTGTTCAAACACACAAACAAATAACTTTCCAAAATCTGTCCAAAATGTGTCCAAAATCAGCACAAAATGTGTCCAAAATCTGTCAAAAATCAGCACAAAATCAGTCCAAAATCAACCCAAAAACTGTCTAAAATGTGTCCAAAATCAGCAAAAAATGGGTCCAAAAGCAGTCCAAAATCTGTCCAAAATCAGCACAAAATCTGTCCAAAATCAATCCAAAATCAACCCAAATTCTGTCTAAAAAGTGTCCAAAATCAGCACAAAAAGTGTCCAAAATCAGTCCAAAATCAACCCAAAATCATTCCAAAATCTGTTCATAATGTGTTCAAACAGACAAACAAATAACTTCCAAAGTTCCAATCAGATAACAAACAATCGACATGATTACATATTCATACTTCTCAATCCATAATTGCAATATATCATAAATCTTCATACATATCATCTTCATAATTAATACAACACCAATTACATGTTCTAACTTCTATAAAAATTATTACATTTTCATAATTAATGTAACACCAATTACAAATAAGATGAAGATCCCATTAATACAACACGAATTTGTATTTATGCCTCTTTGCAAGTTTTGCATCTGCGCGTTCTGAAATTGAAGTTGTTCGCTTTGAAATCGAAGATGTTCGCCCATACTTTGAAGTTGTTTGGTGACAGTTGGTGTATTGTCCATTCGCACTTGCCCTTCCTCCCTATGTTGTGAATTTGTAGGCAAGCACCATCCAATAAACCCACTGCAATCCGGACAACAATAAAAAAGCTTGTTCTTGTTTCATTCCGTCTCCGAAATTAGAATAATTTCTTTTTTCCGACATTGAGGACAATTTCTGTTGCAAAATGTCAATTGATCTGATGTACTGGCGTTAACACTTGAAGTTGACATCTGCAAAAATCTGAATCAAAATCTCAATCAGTTAGTGTATTAGTGTTAGGACTGTTTAACTTGCTAGAAACAAAGGTGGTTCCTTGAAGGCTAGGGGTGGCCACTGTTTGGGCCATAGGTTATGGCCAATCAGCATGATTATAACATCATGCTGGGCATGCACTTTTAAATGCAATTGGTCTTCTGTGTAGTGGTTGTGAGATGAGCTGTTGAAATATGTCTCAAATTCCCTTGAAGTTGGGTTTAGTAGATATTATTATTCCTCATCTACCAATAAAGTTAACTAGAACTCTATAAATAGGTAACCAGAGAGACATGGAATTTATTGCTGTAAGTTGGAATTTATTCCAGAACTTGTGAAAAATTTTAAATCATGTAAATAATTCAATCAACACAATCATGTTTATGCTACAAATTCTTAAGTTTAGTGTCTTCTATTCTTGCTGTTCTCATACTTTTTTAATAATTAAAATTTTATTAGAACGGTTTAGTAGTTTTTTCATAACTGGTATACTTAACTATACTATTAAAAAGTGGACAACTTAAGTGCATTCAAAGCTATGGCCTTGATATGTCATATGTGATATCAGTTATTAGTTGAAGTGTTAGTTCACCCAAAGAAATCAGAGTACTGACCTCTACAAGGGCCACATTCTATATATTCTTGGTGAAACCTAGAATATGAACCAAACCCTGATTGGCTTGTTTTGGTTCTGTTCATCAATGCTTCTGTTTTGCTCCCAGAGAAGTAAGGCTAAACCTTCTAATAGATTAATAGGATTTTAAGTTAATGGTTAAGTGTACATGTGCCTAATAATGTTGACTATTGACTCCAGTAGTTTATAGGTTGGCATGTCCCTCTGGTTTGTACATTAAAGATTTGTTTAAGGCATAGCATCTTGCCAAAATAAAAAAAATAATAATTAAATACTAAAAGCTCAAAACAATTAACAATACAGGGCTTGTATTATTATTTTCTATTTACTAGTTATGCATGATAATTCCTTCACCCCTTTTATAAAAAGAGAAAAAACCATTATTGTAATATTACTATTTCCAAGAACCTTATTCTTCACCCACACATATTTTTAATTAATATATATGATAAAGAATAAAACAAACACTTGGCTCATGCTTGCTGAATAAATTTGGGTGGAATTGGATTTATAATCCATGAGATTCATCAATTTGGTGTTCAGTTTATTATAGGAAGTACTTACTTGATTGTAACCATTAATCACATATGCTTGCAAATCTAAAAAAATCTCATATGCATGGGATAAATAATTTGAGAATATTGAGAATTGTTAAAATTATGTAGACACTTAATCAAATGACAATAAATGTTTATATTAGGTGAGGTTCAACTGTCCAATGCGGAAAGAAAAATAGCATGCAGCTGATATGTTCCCAAATGGGAACTCAGAAATGGGGAACTTAAGTGCATTCAAAGCTGTGGCCTTGGTACATATACACACACATATATCTTACTCAAGTAAAGAAGGTACAATCTATACAGAAGTAAGAGCTTCTTTAAAATATGTGGAACAGAATCCAACCAAGTCCAAAAAAAGACTTGAAGAGGATAGCAGCATTGTTGTCTTGCATCATTCATGACAAATAGTCTTTATTCCTCAATTCAATAGGCCTGGATAGGCACTATGCAAGTCTTCTACAATTGGCCCAACTAAGTTGTGTCTAGCTTTAGTAACTGTTCTAATTATGGCATTCTAAATATTAACTAGTAGAAAATAGTAAAACCAATCATCGAACCAAGCGAACTTGGTTCTCTCTATAATCTCTCCTCTTTGTCTCCTTCACTTCC